TTTTTTTTTTTTTTTTTGGGTATAGAGTTTTGCTGTCAATCACCCAGGCTGGACTTGAACTCTTGGGCTCTAAAGATTCTCCCACCTTAACTTACCAAGTACTTGGAACTACATGCGTATGCCACTGTGTCTGGTTTTTTTCTTACTTTTTTTTTTTTTTTTAAGAGATGGGGTCTTACTGTATTGTCCAGTCTGGTCTTTAACTCCTGGGCTCAGGCATTCCTCCTAAGTAGCTGAGACTATAGGTGGCAGTCACCATACCCAGCTTTCAATAACATGCTATAAATTTTTTCTTTTAATGGTTTGTATGTTGTGTTCTACTTATTCCTAGAAGCCATATGATTTTGTTTACAATTACATTTTCTAATCGGTTTTTACTGAATAAAATTTGATTTTTAAACAACTTTTCATCAAAATAGAGTATGTGTTCAGAAAACACAACAGGGCCTGAGGACCATGAATCATCACAAAGTAAACTTCTTTGTGTAACTATTGCTCAGGTCAGGAAAGAGAACATTGCCACATTTTGGCATTCCCCTCCACACTGGTCTTTTCCCAGTGACTCCCCCATCTTTCTTTCAAAGTGTAATCAGTATCTTGGTTTAGTTTTGCTCATTTGAAACAGCATAAAAATAAAATTATATGTGTATACATGCTTTTCTTTGGTGTTTATCATCTTTTCCTCAATGTATATTTTTGAAACTCATCTGTGTTTGTGTATGAAGCTATAATTTCATTTTCATTCCTGTGTGGTATTCTATCAAGATTATTCTGTTTTATTTATTCATTCTATTGTTTTAGGAATGTTTAGGTTTTTTTCATCTTTAAGCTGTGATTAATAAAGATAATGTGAACATTCACATTGCTCTCTTTTCCATGTACATGCATTTTTTTTTTTTAAATTGAGACAGTCTCACTGTGTCACCCTTGGTAGAGTGCTGTAACGTCACAGCTCACAGCAACATCAAACTCTTTGGCTTAAGTGATTCTCCTGCCTCAGCCTCCCAAGTAGCTGGGACTACAGGTGCCCAGCTATTTTTTGTTGCAGTTGTCATTGTTGTTTAGCTGGTTTCGGGCAGAGTTCGAACTTACCATCCTCAGTGTATGTGGCTGGCACTGTAACCGCTGTGCTACAGGTGCTGAGCCCATGTACATGCGTTTCTATTGGTCATGTATACAGGAATAGAATTGTTGTGTGAATAGATACTTTTATGTTCAACTTTGACAGATCTTGCCAGTGTTTCAAAAGATAAAGTATATAATCAAACTAGCCATGTATACAAGTTCCAGTTAGTTCTATATTCTTGCTTTCTTTTGACATTGATAATCTTTTATATTTTAGTTAAATTAGCGTGTAGTAGTATCCAAGTGTGACTTTAAATATCCCTAATGACTGTTGAGGTTGAACATCTTCATACGCTTCTTTGTAATTTGGCTACTCTTATGAAATGTTTATTCAAGGCACCTTCTCATTTTTCCATTGGATTGGTTCATAATTTCATATTGATTTGTTGAATTCCTTATATATTATTGATTATACATTTTGGTAGTCTTCTAAACTATGGCTTACCTTTTTAGTTTCTTTCTTTTTTTGCAGTTTTTGACTGGGGCTGGGTTTGAACCCGCTGCCTCCGGCATATGGGACTGGTGCCCTACACCTTTGAGCCACAGGAGCCACCCCCCTTTTTAGTTTCTTTATGATGCCTCTTAAGCAGAAACTCTTTTAATGTTAATGTAATATATATCAGTCTTTATTTTTTTGAGACAGTCTCTCTGTTACCCCTGATAGAGTACAGTGGTATCATAACAGCTCACTGCAACCCCAAACTCCTGGGCTTAAGCAGTCCTCCTGTCTCAGCCTCCCAAGAAGCTGGGACTGCAGGTGCACAGCACAATGCTTAGCTAATTTTTTTCTATTTTTGATAGAGATGGCATCTCATTTTTGCTTAGGTTGGCTTTGAACTTCTGACCTAAAGGGATCCTCCTACTTTGGCCTCCTTGAGTGCTAGCATTACAGACATGAGGCACCAAACCTGGCCCAGTCTTTCCTTTATAATACTTTATGTATCCTATCTTGAACATCTCACGATCTTTAAATAGAGCTTTGAGATCTTCACTTTTCAGTATAGTAGCCAGTAGCTGCCTCTGGCTATTGAACAGTTAAAACATGGTTAGTCAGTATTAAGATGTGCTATGAGTGTAAAATACAAGCTAGATTTCAAAGACAAATTATTAAAAATGTAAAATATCACAGTAATTTTTTATTGATCATATGTTAAAATAATATTTTGGATATAGTGGGTTAAATAGATTATAGTATGAAATTAGTTTTATTTCTTCATAAAGCAAATGGCTCACATTATATTTCCAGATAATAGAAGTATGCTTGTCTGATAGAACTTTCTGTGATGATAGACATGTTTTGTGTCTGTACTGTCTGAGATGATAGCCATTAGCCACATGTGGCTATAGAACACTTAAAATGTGGCTAGGCTGCTAGGAAGCTGAATTCTAAATTTAATTTTAGTTAATTTTAATACTTGTATATGACTGGTGCCTACCATATTGGACAGAGCGGTTCCAGACACCTTGTTTTAACATTTTTGTTTCAGCTTTAGGTTCACATGCCGTCTGTAATTGAGTTTTATATATGATGTGGGGTGAGAGTCAAATTTTATTTACTGTTTTCTTCTATATCCGAATCTAATTGACCAAGTTACAAGGAAAAGACCTCCTTTTCTGTTTTAAGATTATTTGGTTTGTTTGTTATGGTGCCATATACCAGACTGTCTTTTTATTTTTAATTAATTTATTTATTTTTGAAACATTGTGTTTTACTTTGTTGCTCCAGTAGAGTGCCCTGGCATCATAGCTCACAGCAAACTCTAACCCTCGGGCTCTGGTGATTCTCTTGCCTTAGCCGTCTGAGTAGCTGGGACTACAGGTGCCCACTGCAATGCCTGACTTTTTTTTTTTTTTTTTTTTTTTGAGACAAGGTTTCACTCTGGCTCAGGCTGGTCTCAAACCTGTGAGCTCAGGCAGTCTACCTGCCTTGGCCTCCCAAGTGCTAGGATTATAGGCATGAGCCACATTGTACCTGGCTTGTCTTTAATAAATGGTAGAGTAAATGTTCCTATTTTGTTCTTCAAGATGGCCTTTTCTGTGTAAATATTAAAAATAGCTTGTCAATTTTCTCAAAATAACTTCTGGGTTTTTGGTTGGAGTTGTATTGGACCTGTAGCTCATCCAGTCATAAACATGATATAGCCATCTATTTATTTAGGTCTTAAATTTTTCTCAGCAATATGTGATCCTTTTCTATATAAAAATATTATTCATCTTTTATTAGGTTTATTCCACATTATTTGCTGCTGTAAAGGGTATTTTCTGATTTCGTTTTCTAATACTAGTATATAGGAATACAAGTGAATTTAGATTGTCTAAATATTTAGCAGCTGTACTATTTTATTAATTTTTATAGATTGTTTCCAGATTTTCTGCATATTTAATTCTGCCATTTTTTGTTTGTTTGTTTGTTTGTTTGGGGTTTTTTTTGGCCAGGACTGGGTTTGAACCTACCACCTCTGGCATATCAGGCCGGCACCCTACTCCTTGAGCCACAGGTGCTGCCCTAGTTCTGCCATTTTTTAATAAATAAAAACAGCTTTCTTTTTCCCGATTCTTACATATTTTACCATTTTACTTTTTAGCCTTATTGCACTGACTCCCCCTCAAAGACATCCTGGAGGGGCAAATGTATTTGTAAAGGACTAGATAGGAAGGAAGCCAGCAATTCCTGTATATTGTCAATGTTTGCTTAAAGGGAGCCAGAGTAGTCTTGAGGATGAATCTTGAACAATTTGTTTTAATTTGAAGGGCTGTACACTATTTTGGGTAATTAAAAGGAGCTGTTTTTATAGGGCATTAGAAAAGAAAAGATTGTTTCAAAGCCTCAAAAGAAATGGAATAAAATATTTGCTCAGTGAGTTGGCAACTGTTAGATAGTTTGTGATTATTGTGAATGTGTCTAGGTATAAACTAATGCTTCTCTCTTTTAAATCCTTTTAGGAAAAATAGAAATGAAGGTACATATGCACACAAAATTTTGCCTCATTTGTTTGCTGACATTTATTTTCCATCATTGCAACCATTGCCATGAAGAACATGACCATGGCCCTGAGGAGCTTCACAGACATCATCGAGGAATGACAGAATTGGAGCCAAGCAAATTTTCAGTGCTGGCTGCTGAAAATGAAAAAAAATACTATATTGAAAAACTTTTTGACCGCTATGGTGAAAATGGAAGATTATCTTTTTTTGGTCTGGAGAAACTTTTAACAAACTTGGGTCTTGGAGAGATAAAAGTAGTTGAGATTAATCATGAGGATCTTGGCCACGATCATGTTTCTCACTTAGATATTTTGGCAGTTCAAGAGGGAAAGCATTTTCACTCACATAACCACCAGCATTCCCATAATCATTTAAATTCAGAAAATCAAACTGTGACCAGTGTATCAACAAAAAGAAACCATAAATGTGATCCAGAGAAAGAGACAGTTGAAGTATCTGTAAAAGCTGATGATAAACATACACATGACCATAATCATCGCCTACGTCATCACCATCGTTTGCATCATCGCCTTGATCATAACACAACTCACCATGTTCATAATGATTCCATTACTCCCAGTGAGCGTGGGGAGCCTAGTCATGAACCTTCAACAGAGACCAATAAAACACAGGAACAATCTGATGTTAAGCTACCGAAAGGAAAGAGGAAGAAAAAAGGGAAGAAAAGTAATGAAAATTCTGAGGTTATTACACCAGGTTTTCCCCCTAACCATGATCAGGGTGAACAGTATGAGCATAATCGGGTCCACAAACCTGATCGTGTACATAACCCAGGTCATTCTCATGTACATCTTCCAGAACATAATGGTCATGATCCTGGTCATGGACACCAAGATCTTGATCCTGATAATGATGGTGAACTTCGACATACTAGAAAGAGAGAAGCACCACATGTTAAAAAAAGTGCAATTTATTCAGCTGCTAGTCACAAAGATCATAATGAAGATGACCGTCAACATGAAGTAAGTATAAAATGGTGTCCGATGGTTGCTTCAAAATTCTTAGATGATTGTGGTGCATTTTAAAGATAGGATAACAGTGGAATAGTTAATCATATCTAAACATATTTCCATATGTGGACATGTGGAACATCAGGTAACATTCCTGAATAAAAAACATTAAGGAATCAAAGTCAGTATAAAGATATTTTTGTCTGGATTTTTCACTGATATTACTTGTTTCCTGTGTTCTCAAATTTGGGTTTCTCTAATCAATACTTAAATATTGTTAAAAATGTATGAAATGTTTGGTTTTCTGAGTTAATTTTCACTGTTGCTACTGTTAGCTGCTCTTTAGGTATTTTAAAATTAGAATCTTTTTGTATGTGTGTTTTGTTGTTGTTCACCCTGTCCTTTTTGGAAGTCACTAGAACAGTTTCATTTTCATGTTTATTTTATTGAAATAACTATTAAGTGATTCCTACTTACTGATCTAGCTCCAAAGTTAGGTATTTTTTGCACATGTGATTGGCTTGTTTTGTTCATGTCATTTTTTGTTAAGGCCTTCTGTCTTATGAGATTGGTCTTTTCTGAGGCCTTTTAACAGATTCAGGGATGAATACTAAAATAATAGGGAACATCAATAGTAGTGGGATGGTCCTATTTTCCTTTGAATTTTTATATTTTTGGGTACTTTCACATTTGATTGGCTCTTGATCTTTCTTTTGTTTTTACCTATTCACCTGAAGCACATTTTATTTTTGTTTCATTAAAGGTAGATCAACACCCTTCTGATTTGTAGCTCTTAAAGTTTGGAAAAATTTGTTATATTGCTTGTTCATATATATAGAAGTCAGTAAATACCATTAGATGTGGAAAATGACCTCACCCTTTTCTGTTATTATCATTGAGATATGTTTTGCATCTAAGTAGATATGTTTTTGTTTCTTCCCTGAATACATCATCAGATATTTGACTGTTAGTATTTTTAAGCAATGATGTTAAAATAACATATATTAAGATCTTAGTATGTTTTCAAATTATGAATTTATCACTATGGGTAATATCCTAGAATCTTTTGTTGGTGATAACTAGATCTTATTCATGTTTCTTTTTTGTATCAGACCTCTCAGATCTCTTACCATCAGAATTGTTATTGGTATTTTGACAAGGTCTGAGCCACCTTGGGAAATCTGTGATTTCTGAAAACATTCTATGCATTGAACAGGGTAGTACCACATGGTAATTAACACCTCAGAAGAATCATTTTTGTGTGTTTATAGTTTGAGTTTTGGTGGGTTTTTTGTGTCATAAACATTGTGAGGTAGCACATCAGTGAACAATCATGTAGTGTTTCCCAAATAAGGATCTTGAGTCACTGATGATTGCAATTTGATAGGGAAGTGATTTTTCTTCTCATCCCATGAGAATATTAGGAGCATTATGATGAGTCATTCTCCTTCCCGCCCCATACCTGCCTTTTTTTTTTTTTTTTGACTCCTTGATCTTGGAATGAGAGATTATTCATAATAGAAAGTTATCTTTCATGTGTTGGAGTTGAAAATTATTAAAATCCATAAAAAATCGTGGGTAATCTAGTTGAATGTATTTCTATAAAATCTTATTAAAAAGCTTTATTTTTAATAGCTATCTGTATGACAGATTAATTTCAAATAATTAGAATATTTTAGATTATACAGTTATTTTTCTGCATTCTTAAAGATACTACTGTATTTAATTTCCTTTATCAATTTCCTTGCAGTGTTTGAACGTCACTCAGTTATTAAAATACTATGGTCATGGTGCCAACACTCCCATCTCAATTGATCTGTTTACGTACCTTTGCCCTGCACTGTTATATCAGATCGACAGCAGACTTTGTATTGAGCATTTTGACAAACTTATAGTTGAAGACTTGAGTAAAGATAAAAATACGGGTTCTGAAGATAAGGCAGATATAAGGGCATCAGGTAAGAAAGAGATTTAAATTTTTTCTCCTTTAAAATAGTACCTGTACTTACTTTTTAAATTATATTTGAATTATAAAGTAATTCTAAGTTCTTTTGGCATTCTTTTGGTGTTGGACTTTAAATATATTT